TATAAAAAGTCTACAAAGTTTGGGTAGGGAAATATTTTGGAATGCGGTTCTTTCGAAGACAACCTGAAACAGACGACAATAACAAAATATCTCCTAAAGGTTTATAATTGAGTTTAATATCGTTCATGATCGGGGTTTATTAACGTGATTTTTATGTTGACAGTGTTATAACCCCTACTTCTAACACAAAAGCATAAGATGATATTATTTATCTAAAGAATATCAGAAAATGTTACGACTGACAAGTGGTACCAACATAAACATCATTTAGGACCTATAAATATAACATTATCTTTCTTGTTTATGATGACCTGACAAGGACGTGAAAGGACACATCCAATGCATGTTTTCAACTACTATCCTAGCATTCTATTAATAAGGAAAATTAAAAAGAAGTCAGTAATGATAGCCAGTGAATCGAAATTTCCCTATTAAGAACCGATTATGACGTACGGTAAATCAGACATTTTATGATCTCCATGACGAGACGCGTGTCAGATGTTTTAAATTATCAAGACAATTTTAATATGTACAGATCAAATGTAATAATTCTGACTGACAGTGAGGATAATTCAACCGAGACTGTTTATAAATCTAGTCGGACCAGAAATAAATACAAGCAAAATATTTGAATGCAATGACAGACCAGACGTCGGTCGGTAGATTTAAGAGAAAAGCCTCTCGGGCTGCATAACCGACCTCATTTCCAGTTTCTAAATATTTAAAGTTTACGCCGATTTGTAAACTAACAGTAATAATCAAAATTACTGGCATTATCGCGAAAACTGAATAGTTTTTTTAAATGGTTACCACAACACTGCCGCTAAAATACGTACAAGTCCAAATTTTAACTTGTGGTACTTCTATGCCCCCCCCCCCAAAAAAAAAATAAAAATAAAGAGTGTCCCTTTTACACCACACATAAACCCCTTCAAGTGTAAAACAATTAGACCAATGACAACAATAAATTCTTGCAGACGTATTCGATTGTACGGCCGTAGTTTGAGATCGCTTGTCCCTCGGCGAGAACCTGCCACAGCGAAATGCCTGCCGTGTCCCCGAAAACTAGTCATCTTATTCGATTCCCCCACGTGACGACCCGCATTTCTAAATTCTTCACGAAGAACAGACAACGATTTCGACGGGGAACTCACGTTCTGCTCGTGAACTAGTCATGTTCGCAACTGTACAGCCTTTGCGCAACTGTCTTGAGCAGCGGCCTAGCAACAAGAGTGACCTTGACTCGAATGTCTCGGAGGTGTTTGTGATTTTTCTTTTCTCCTAGCGTAATGCGTGATTTCTGTTGGCATGCGTTTTATATGGTACACCCTGTATTTTCTGATTTCTCCTGCTGATGTTACCTAATCTGACGAAAACAAAATACACTGCCAAGGATTTATTATTATTTTTTTTGTAGTGTTCTGTGTGACGACAGGTCCATATGAACAGGATCCTTCCATCCTTTTCTCGGACTGGGACCTGTTCATATACGTTCTTGGCAGATGATCCAGAAGTGGTTTGCCATTCCCTTCTTCTGTGTGTGAATGGAGTAATTATTGGGATGCCACGGAGGAAAACTCCGGGTTGCCTAGACCACGGCCTGGCCCAACACAAGTTATAAATTCGGGCACCACCGGGAATCGAACCCGAGACCCCAGGATTACAAGGCCAGCATTCTAACCGCTAGACCACCCATATACTTTCTTGGCAGATGATCCAGAAGTGGTTTGGCATTGCCTTCTTCTGTGTGTGAATGGGGTAATTGTTGGGATGCCACGGAGGAAAACTCCGTGTTGCCTAGACCACGGCCTTGCCCAACACAAGTTATAAATTCGGGCACCGCCGGCAATCGAACCCGAGACCCCCAGGATTACAAGCCCAGCGTTCTAACCGCTAGACCACCGTGGCTCTGCCAAGGATATTTGTCGAAAAGTAAACGCGCATAAGACAAGTCAGCCCTATATGTTGCGAAATCTCCAGAATGCAGGATAAAAACCACATACCATGCCCAGCGCACTTTAAAAAGTCCTTGATTCCACCAGATTAGCAAGACGCTATAAGACGTGTACAGATATAAATCACGCCTCGTTGTATAACAGGCCTATCCTAAGCTACCAACTTACTTGTTGATGCTGGTCTTGTGGGTTGTGACGCAGTGCGGACTTGTAAGCATACATAAACGTTTCGAAACAACATATTGCCTCCGTCTTCAGGGCAGAAAGTAGAGGCAGCATGTTTCTTTAAAACACAAAATTATTCGCCGTGATAAAAACCTCAAACCTCAAATCTCAATCATCCTCAAGCACTTCATTCTTCTCAGATAGAAACATTTGAAGGAAGAGTAGTTGTCCGTATGTGTCGTCTACGTCTGATAAGAGAAACTTAATAATCATTTTAATTGTGTATAATTTCCTGTGGGAGATTAGTAAGATGTCCAAATCGTGGCCATTTTAAAGTCTATGCGATTTTCCTAGCCTCTATAGCACGGATTACATTGGAAACAAAAAAAATATATAATTTCTTCACGCCGTCAAAGTGTACACGCCTATGTCCGAGGTTCGATCATAATGCTATTACATTTAATTCTAATTCTTTTAAATTTAAAAATTTTAAAAGATACCGAAAGCTTACCACACTATTTCAATAAGGAAAGTTACTTGTCTTATTTTTATTCAGTAATATATTAATATTTAAATGTATTTTTAACGTTACATACTTATTTACAGAAACAAATATATAAAAAAGCATCTAATTTGTTTAAACAAATCACTGGCCCTATTAGAATTTAAGGAACAAAATAAAGAATTGGGGTATATATGGAATTAGGTTTGGTGTTAACACTAAATAAGTTAGCTCAAGGGTAAAGCATCATATCTGTCTGGAGATGGCCTTTTTAAATTTCCATCAGAAGACATGGGGATAATTCCTTATAAGTTTATGGATGTTCCCAATTCAACAGCCTCGTCACATTCATGTTGAAAATATGCAAATGATAATTTAGAATTTCCATTAAAAGCGTTCGAGGCCTGTAAACATCCATCACGGCCAATGAAATCTGCCGGTTACGTTGGTGATCTGAGAACACTCTGTGCTCGTATTCCGAAGGTACCGCGATCGAAGCCTGAGGTGACTGCCAGGGCAGTGCTCTGAAACACGTCATATCGGCCTACTTCCATTAACTTGCAATGTTCTATTTCATTCGGCACTACGTAACACACGATCTTAACAAGGGCTACTACTACACAGTCTTTTTTATTTATTTAGTGTTCTGTCTGACGACAGGTCCATATGAACAGGATCCTTCCATCCTTTTCTCGGACTGGGACCTGTTCATATACGTTCTTGGCAGATGATCCAGAAGTGGTTTGCCATTGCCTTCTTCTGAGTGTGAATGGAGTAATTGTTGGGATGCCACGGAGGAAAACTCCGTGTTGCCTAGACCACGGCCTTGCCCAACACAAGTTATAAATTCGGGCACCGCCGGGAATTGAACCCGGGACTCCAGGCTTACAAGGCTAGTGTTCTGACCGCTAGACCGCAGCAGTGGTGGTACTACACAGTCTATACACCACAAACACTAAGTGTTTAGACCGTTCACGTCATCTTTAGGCGTTTAAAGTGGATGATCATTGTAATCTAATTTATACGCGCATGGAAACTTACTTGTGATTAATTTGCGTTTCTTAAAAATTGTTAAGGTTATATTTTATAGACTCTATCTTGCTTTATTAAAGGTAATAAGGTGTTCTTAACTTAATATTGCAGATTTATGTACACACAGCGATTCGATGTCTTATTTTGACGTCATATTTAAATATAATCTGTCACATTTTCTACGATTAGAAAAGTTTCTTATTATTTTATAACAATGCTGGTTTATTCTTACGAAAAAGAATATATAATTTAAGACCTTCCGCTTTTCTGACTTTATGTTGGCATAACCCTCGCTTATCTTTATGATATATGAGATGATGTGGTGAGTTTAGGTGCGTTGTATATATATATGCATGCTTATTTATATCTTGTGTTTATAGCAATGACTGTGTAAAGGCGCGAGACAGTTTTCGGTGTGTACAGATGACAGTCAGTTCAGAAGAAATAATTTTAACCATTTTTAAGGAAACGCAAAGTATTAATAATTACAAGTATGAATATATAAATTAGATTTTCATCAAAATGCAGTTTAATATTCTTTGTATATTTTTAAACGAACACATCAAAATGGCCTGCGACATAAACAGAGTTGAGTTGTGTTAATGGATATACTTATTATTATTATTTACACACAGAATAGGATGCAAACGTCTGAGATGACAGAAATTGTAAGAAGATCGACGGAACGTAGACCTAACCTAACCTAACCTAACCTTGATGTAACAAAACGTGATTCACTCCAGATGAAGCACAAATATCGGGCAGGATTCATGTCCAGCCGAGAAGCGATGAATTTACCTCCGTAAATCCGCATGGACACACGGAATTAAAACTTCGTACAAGATCCTGTGTTACAAATTTCACGATTTTGCATTGCAGTCAGTACGTAAGAATTAAAATTCTGCAATCGCCTCAAAACTCCAGACTCGCCTGATTTTTGGTCAAATCCGATACAAGTAGAATACAAGACAATTTCCCCGAGCAAATTATACTTTACGCCAAAACGGTCTACTTGTGGTTTATTTAACGACGTTTCCAGCCGATCAGAATACTGGATTACTGAACAACGAATTTGACAGGATATGCCACGAAACATTCGTTTCCTTACTTCAACGTCCTGTCCCGGCATTGACTTGGAGCGACTGCATAAAACCACGACGTTATCGTCAAAAAAAAAAAAAAGATGCAATGTACGTCTTCGTACGTGACCATTAAAACTTTCCTGCGGATCATGTGGGAAATTAAGCCTACGATATTCACTTAGTTCAAGACAGACATCACCCTTCACGTGCCAGAGTAAAATCAAGTAAAATGATTTTATTTTATCCGCGGTCCCCGTAACTCACATGTTCCATTCACGTTTCTGCTGACGATCTTGGTGGCAGGGGCTGGTGACGTAAGGGGCGGTTGTGTCGCCCCGACGACAACAGAAGGCGGGGGGACCGAGGAAGACGATGAGAGTCCTGGTATCACTGAAGGGGTAGCCGAGTTCGATCCCTGACTTGTCTGACTGCCGTTTGAAGATGTACCACCTCCGGGTGTCACCTCCGTTGGGGTATGATGGTTCATGTGGTGAGGGTCCATCACCACACACACACACACACACTTGTTTATCACCTGGTTGGCGAGGCGTGGAGTCGCCCTTCCGGGTCTTTTAGACACATCTCACAACCCACTGCTGCAGTGGAACGGATGCCAGAAATAAACCGTCGCGTACGAGCGCCTCCACTGGCGGCAGAAACAACACTGACACACACACACACACACACACAGGGTCGAGGGAAGGGAACGATAAAAAACAGAAAGAGGGAAAAATAAAAAAAACGGGAAAATAAAAAGGCCCCCTTCCCCCCCCGGCGGGACTTCGTAGCGTAGCTAGGTTGCCCAGCTAGGCGGCAAGCTAGGAATGCTGTCTGATTCATGGCTACGGAGTGAGGACTGCAGCAGCCAAGAAGGAGCAGAGAAAGACGAGGAAACGAAGAAACAGAAATAAAAAGGAATAACGATAAAAAAGGCGAGACTCGATCTAAAAAAAAAAGACCACGAGCACAGTGGAAGAGCTGCCGTCTGTCGGTAGAACAGCCGCAACTTCCACCACGCCTCCGCCCCCCTCCGCTCACACAAATGTTACCGTCAACGATGGGCCGTTGATGAAATGAGAACTGCACCCAGACGTGGAACGCAGGCCCATCCTGCCGCTTCGGCCACCTCCGATACACTTCGAGGCCAGCGAAACGTCATCAGAGACCCCGCTGCCCGCGAGAACTTGAAATCTCACCAACTTCGATTCGCGTAAGAAAAAAAAAAGTTTGGGATGCCCAAAGGAAGACGAAGAAGAATGGAACAACTGCTCGCATTCGAATTAACAGATCGACACTAAGAAAGAAAAGCCAAGTAGAATAAAATATATTAAAATGTAACTTTCGCGTTGAAGATCTAAAATGAAGCAAAATTGGAATACAAATATTGGAAAGATAAAGAAACGTCTATATAAAGAGTCTTGCGATAAACATGGACACATTCGTGAAACGCCTTAAAAAAAATATGTTCAAATATGATGTGGTACTGAACACTCCTATTGAGGAGAAAATATTGGTATGTCGAGCACAAGACGTCGTCTACGCACACATTTTATTAAACGCGTCATCAGAACGCAGTTGTTACATGGGCGAAGAGCGTTCCAGGACTCAAAACACTTAAAATGCCTCTACAATTGTTTCCTCACAGAAGAAACCACCTACATTATCGACTACAATAAAATAACAGAATCCATTTGGCACCTCCCGTGATACGAAATTAATAAATAATTGTTTCTTCCCTCAGTAGCTTTTGACAAATGTCGACAAGAATTAATATCAATTTCTCCTGACGTCTTTCGACATTTTTATCATTTAATTCCCAGTATAACCACACAATAAAATTATAAGATATCAAACATGCAAATAACTGAACTAAAAAAATAATATTCGGCATTTGAAAGAATAAATTCATTTATCACTTAGTCCCAAATTAATATTGAATGTCTTAAGTTCTAAGATAATCTAATATTTAAGAACTCAGGCCGTACCACAAAGAAAACACAACGCGCATCCATTTAAAAAGATCAGCGATGAACGTAACCCAACCAACTTTCACATTTAATTCTCAAATGGCAGCACCATACAGAGATCGGGATGTCATCCACGCTGCAGTGTACGAAATTACGATACTTCAATCGATAATGCAGCTAGCTACAGATCCACAAGATCTTTCCTTAGAATGTGATATACCAAGACTTGCACTCGTAAAACAGGTTTACGAACATTTATGAATATCTTCTTAATCATTATGGTTCAAGACAGGATTCTACATGATTTGCGGGCATTTTCGGAATATAATTTGTTCTTGACTGTTCAGCAGCTGCAAAGTACAAAGCCACATTTTTGACGTCTTAATGCGATTTCTGTACCAAAATTTTGTCCCGAATTATGTTCACGTAAACTGCCTTCTTGAGAAATGCAATAAAGAACAATCCTATGTGTAAACGCCTGCGAATCGCTGTTTAGACTACATGCATGTCAGAGAAGTTGCCGCCCATGCAAGGGGTCCGCTTGAATATTGAACAGTTTTTGAAGCCTTGTATATTCACAGAAATGGATTTCTGTACTCTACAATCATTAATTCAATATTTCTGCTAGCTTCACTAACTACACTAAAGCATATAAAACAAATAAGGAACATATTTGTTCTTATAAGTTCTTTTTAATACCATTGTAACTGTAATAAAATTCTGGGACTTGAAGGAAAGATTTCTCTAAATATTTGCATATTAAAACCGTGAAGGATCATTCACTTGTTTCGGTACGCGAAATAATTACAAAGGCACTGCAAGCGAGATATTTAAGTACGTATAAAACTGATAACATGACACAAGAATTTGCGCATTTCACGGTTGTGTAAATTTCACCCGATGCTAATACAAAGCCTCCGCGTAATCGTGGTTACTAAATTACTTTAATGTATATTTACTATAGCATTATCATTATACGAACATGAGGAAGACGTAGTTTCATCTTGTGTTCGCGAGTAATAACACAAAGCTAGCCAGCTTAACTGATAAAGCCATCCGACCCACAAGAAACTTCACTTCTGTATCTCGCTCGGGGACGGAATGGGGGAAATTGGCCCGGAAAAATATTTAGCAAATGATGACGTTATCATGGGGTATTCCCCATGATTTTGTTCGCTCGAAGCATTCGCGGACTAGTCGACCGAAATAAACTTCTTCCTTAGATTACACTTTCCTTATCAGAAAGCAATTCTTTGTTGTTGAAAGGACGAAGGTATTTAAACATGGACACCTCCTGGCTTGCGAGAAATGTTGGTGTTACGTCATCGATAGTTAAATTATGGTCTTCTAATACAGTAATTTTTTATTTACAACATCCTTCGTACAATAATAATAAACGCGCTGTTTCCAGCTCTCGGATAGAGATTTTTCGTCAATTTATCGTAACATCTATTTGTCTGAAAATATCCCAAATTATTATCTACTTCTTATCCAATTTTCCATCGCAGTTGTCTTGAAAGTCAGGGAGTGTAAGAAAAAGCCACGAATGACCTCAGTCAAACACAAAAACTGGTTTGCTAACTTTAGTACATAACCGGCAGCCTTCACCCTCTATAATATGTTTTTCAACAGGTGAATCTTACTAATGAAATGGTGAAACCTTTCAGTAAACACGCTGTATGTAACAATAATTTTCCTTTGGAGGGGAATATTTGTGACGTCACGAAGTATGTCAGATACAGGAGGGGGGTCGTGTGAAATGAACTTTAACAATGTCAGAGTTACCAACCGCACCGAACAGACTGGAAGTAAAGAAATGCTGAAGATCGTACAGTGGAGGAGGGCCTTGCAGTACGCAGCGGCGTTCACAGGTAAGTTTTTAGGCAGGGATTGGGTAGAAAACGGTCTAATTGCAAACCCTGAATTGTCTATTGTGATATGGCAACGCTATCTAAAGATTGTGATTATGTCAATGCGTTTATAGCAGAAGCCGATAGAAGAATTCATTTATTGAGGCTACACGTGCAATGTACAGCATAAAGAATTGCGTAATAAAACTTTGTGAACTCATTTAGCTGGCAAGAAGTGTTGAATGTTTTGTTAGTCGTATAAAAGATCACCGATTCTGTGCAGATAAGAGAAAACGCTTAACTGACTGCAAACCAAAATTAATAAAAATTCAAGAAAGGCGCGCGTATTAATTTTTGGAAAATTCGGGAAATTCCTCGGCTAAAAACTTCCCACACGTTGGTCACAGCCATATCATAATTGAGTTCCGTCACAATTTCGTCCACATCCTGCAGAGTGTTTTAAACTCGCCAAGTACGTGAAGTGGTAAATAACGCAGTTGTAAAATATTGGTTCTTTTAGGAACTGAAACATGTCGTGAAACATGAAAAAATGATGGTCTAATGTAAATCGAATATTTCGATAAAGAACATCATTTAATATTTTAAATATTTTAAATGTTAATTATTGTAATATTTTAATATTTAATAAGAATTAATGTGATTAGACGGACAAGATTTAATATATACTTATTATATCACAATATGACGCAACTTTACCATCTTGTAAAATATTTGTAGGATTGATGCTCTAATTACAGTGATTACGAAGATGGCTGCCTTATTCTGGGTCGTAGTGCCGTGTAGTCTGGTAGAAATCTACCGACGTTTCAGACGTGCTTACTGCTTCCATCATCAGGGCGATGATGGAGACAGCAAACACCTCTGAAACGTTGGTAAACTTCTACCAGACTACACGAAGCAATAACCCAGAAGACAGCCATCTTGAGTTTAATTCATACGTACCTCAATCTGAAATTTATATATTATCAGTCTTAGTAAGATTTTATTTGATTTCTTTAGTGTGTTGACAGTCACATGTAACTAATGCAACTGAATCAACTTTGGTCAAATCAATTATTAGGGTTTCCGGCTTGTTCTAGTTCTGATGAATTTTTAAACAGGGATTATTTAACGTGAGATTTCAAGTTATCACGGCAGTGAAAATATTCCCGGTGGTTCATGTTGGTTGTGACGCTGTGTGGACTTGTACGTAGGCATTAACGTTTCGGGGGAAAAAAAACATTGTATCTATCCTCAGGGCTTAAAATGTACATAATATGTATTTTCCCGAAACGTTGGTATCTATGGCATCATAACCCAGAGGAACAACATGGACCAAGAATCGACATCTGACATCATTACCTAAGAATCAAACCGGCCACAACAGAAATAAATGCAAATATATATATATATATATATATATCAGTTCTCAGCAAAACGTCGAACTCAGGATTCCAGTGTCCATAACATATATAATAGTAGTCTGTCTAAACGGAGAATTAACTTGACCTCCAGACAGAAACACCCTTCTGCGCACGGTGTATAGACTCAGTTGTTCATTAGTTATCTAACTTTATCGTAGTTCGTCTAATTATTAAAATTTTTACTCTTTAATATTTTATATAGAATTTTAGTATCTCAGTCGGATCATTAGCAACGGAGCCATATTATAATACATAATTCAGATTGGTCCAATAGTGGTAACATTTTTTGGTAAGGGGCGATGTTTTTAGGACAGCATTCAGCACCACATTACGGCTTCAAGGTCGAGTCAATTAGCATTTTCCTTACGCCGCAAGGTCATTTAATCCGTTACATCACGACGAACAATACGTCTATACGAAGCATTCTGTGCCATTTCCCTCTGTGAAAATCGTCGCAAGAATTTCAGAACGTGTTAGTATACAATGCAGCAGAATTTGTATAAATTGTAATAAAATTCCCTTGTCCTTTCAGGTTTCTCAAAGGATGCTTCCTTGTTTTTTTACGATGCTGTGTCCGGATACAAATGTAAATGAAGCATTACTGTTAGCTGTCATGTCTGATTTGCATGAAAATAATTTACACCACGATATGTTCGTATAAGCAAATTCGCAAATACATCACATAAAAGCCATTTATTATTCGAGCAGACGCGTTAAACAAAGAACGTTTGGTTAGGAATAATATTTAGTATTTACAGCTAAGCTACGTGTTTGACTTAATAAACCATTTATTATGTATTCCAAATAAATTTTATTAAGATTCTATAGTGAAAGGTATACAGAAGGTCACACGTAATTCACGTCACACCAAATAACAGGAAAATCTGATTTCCAAAAACATCGTCTTATTCCGTCTGCAATTTTCACCTCATATTCTTGGAATCAAGTCAATGAGCATGCACAGCGAAAATAATAAATGTTTACACCTATATTATTAACTCTGACACGTTTCTCCCAAACGCCTTCGAGGCCACAAAGCGTCAAAACCCAGAAGATCAAATTCGACATTTTCAAAGTCGAGAGAACCTCAAATCCTTTCGTCTGAAGTTACGATCTACTTACGAAGAAAAAATCCTTCTTAGAAATCCTCACTGCATGAACTTCCGGGACTGATTATAGTCTTAATTTTATCCTTAATATAATTCCGATCTGTTACTGTCGTTTCCATACACAGGGGACTCTCAGTATACGCGCTTTCACTATCCGCGTTGCAACATACCCGCTATCTTATTTCAGAATCATACGAAACACTCCAGCTTTTTATTTAAATTATGTCTTTAACTTCATCTGGAGACGCTGTATCATTTGAAGAATCTCCTGTAGGACTCACCTCGTCTCTCCTACATCATTTCTTCTGAGTTTGCTCGCAATACCCGAGATCTCGTAATACCCGAGATCTCGTAATACCCGAGATATCGTAATACCCGAGATCTCGTTATAAACGGGTTCCACTCTATTTCATCTGAGTCACCTCTTCACTGACGACGACTCCAGTTTTCCGTTTTACTTTCAGTACGCAAGGCGAACGCAGGCACACGAAAGTGACATGTAATTAAGATTTGCTGCAACATTTCCTAATCTTAGCAGATGTAGGCAGGACTCTCTGCTTCGTGACTGTTTCTCTGTAGTGAAACAAGCGATTTTAAAGCGCGACGTAGCATAAATAGGTCTCCCAAGGCCGAGCGAGGACGATATAATTGTCTAGCCAACGTTTGTTAAGCTTTAATACGTTCGGGGAAAGTTAAAACGATAGTCAACATCTCGCAGTGCACCACGTTATCTGTTACCGTGAAGCCGTGTATCTATTCGTTCATAAACTGGGTTCACAATCCTCTCCCTGCTTCGCTAAGCCCTTAAATTTCAACTTCAAGCTATAATTTCTGAAACATGAACTGTAAACCGCAGACATATTTAACGCAAAGGTTAATTTCCGGGTTTAAAATAGCCCGAAAATTTGTCGTATTTGACAGCCAGATCAATTTAATTTACTCTCAAGTTTCCCTTTAAAATTACGCGTATATTTCTCATCTATCCACGTGATACATTCAGACACCATTGCACGACATGCTCAGACAGCTGGCCAACTAACAGCGTGTTCACGGTCACTGTTACAGCTGCCCTCACGTTCCTGATGGCCGGTACTTTTGCATCGTGGACTTCGCCGACCCTACCAAAGCTGGAGGAAGTCCATTCTCACATTCCCATCACCAGAGACCAGGGGTCATGGATCGTATCTCTGCTGGGGGTGGGCGGTATCCTGGCACCTTTGCCTGCCGGCTACCTGGTCAACAAATATGGACGCAGACCTCTGTTAATTTTCTCTGCACTGCCGTTCCTGCTGGCGTGGTTGCTCATCATTTTTGCCAGGTATTGAACTTTGTCGCAAAAATCATATAAGGCAGATGATGTACGCTATATATGGGATCTGTATTTCTGGCGACCCTGGAGACGTCAGTATTCGTATTCTGGGCTTATAACGCCTTAAGTACCTGCCGGTAGACACCGACGTATAGGAAGCACATAACTTACAAATCCTCAGAAAAATATCTGGACCAAAAACGAATGAAGTATTTGGGTATTTTAGAATTTTGGAGAAAGCCTCTTGGAAAACGTCCACGTGGAAGAACGAGAAGAAGAAAAACGGAAGATAACATTTAGATTAACTTCGGAGAGCCTGAAGAATCTTCTCGTCCTTGGGATCTCGCATTATAATTCTCAAGCAATTTTAAAATGAAGCTCATCATGAAAAGTTCCCTATTCCACGACCTAACTAACTAACTAGATGGCTTACCGAACCCGAAGGTTCATCACTGAACTAACCAAAGCCCTCCACCGGACCTTGTCCTGGGCCAACAAAATCCAGTCTCCTTCAACTCCTCTCTCCCATAGATCCCGCCTGAGATTATCCTCCCATCTACGTCTAGGTCTCCCCAGAGATCTCTTCCCCTCAGGCTTCCCAAAGAGTGGACCCAACCAACTAGATGGCTTACCGAACCCGAAGGTTCATCACTGAACTAACCAAAGCCCTCCACCGGACCTTGTCCTGGGCCAACAAAATCCAGTCTCCTTCAACTCCTCTCTCCCATAGATCCCGCCTGAGATTATCCTCCCATCTACGTCTAGGTCTCCCCAGAGATCTCTTCCCCTCAGGCTTCCCAACCAATACCCGGTGCACACCTCTTGCCCCAACCATGCGCGCTACATGCCCAGCCCATCTCATTCTTCTCGACTTAATCACCCTGACAATACTGAGGGAGGAGTACAGATTATGATTCCACGACCTATTGAATCGATTCATATCGATTTTCATAAAAATCGGAGCCAATATAATGAACACGGAAGTGTTTTCAGGAAAGAAAACTTGATTCAAAATGAATGTTTAGTTGTGTTTACTCACATTCTAATCGCACTGTACCTTCTTCAGGTCTGCGGTGGATCTCATGGTGTCGCGCACGGTGTGTGGACTCGGCGCGGGGATCGCGTTCGCTGTGTGTCCTATCTACCTGGGGGAGATCGCCGAGGATAGTGTGAGAGGAATCCTAGGTAGGACTACAATCCTCAGTTATGACAGACGGCGGGTAAAGGATCCTGAGGTCACATGACGCATTGTCTTACAGGGACGCTGATGCAGCTAATGATGAATTTGGGCTCAATGTTTGAGTACAGTCTGGGTCCATACGTCTCGTATACCACCCTCGGTGTGCTGTCGAGCGTATTCCCCGTCGTATTCCTGGTACTGATGTTCTTCATGCCTGAGAGTCCTTACTTCTTACTCATGCAGGACAGAAGAGACGAGGCTGAAATCGCTCTCATGAGACTACGCGGACAGACAGACCGTCAACATATACAGGTAAGATCTGAGGTTCTCATGGCGGCTAAGAATTCGATGTTGATCTTCTGGGCTGTTAAGCTTAAGCCCTGAAGGTAAAGGCAGTATTTTCCTCAGAAACTTTGGTATTTACCTAAAAGTCCGCACGGTGTTACAACCCACAAGACAAACGACATTTGAAAGAAATTATAAGTTTCAAAATACGAGATGAAAACGAACTGAAACTCTTCACGGAATCAATTAATGGCGATAAATTATCTGATTTATTTATTTTATTTATTTAGTGTTCTGTGTGACGACAGGTCCATATGAACAGGATCCTTCCATCCTTTTCTCGGACTGGGACCTGTTCATATACGTTCTTGGCAGATGATCCAGAAGTGGTTTGCCATTGCCTTCTTCTGTGTGTGAATGGAGTAATTGTTGGGATGCCACGGAGGAAAACTCCGTGTTGCCTAGACCACGGCCTTGCCCAACACAAGTTCTAAATTCGGGCACCGCCGGGAATCGAACCCGAGACCCCAGGATTACAAGGCCAGCGTTCTGACCGCTAGACCGCCGTGGCTATTAAAATTATCTGATATAATATAATATCTCGGTCGATAAAGCGACAAACCAAGAGACAGATCGGAATTTTCTTCTCGGTAGTGGTAAGCATATTCCTTCACCAGAGTCTTGTCCGTGATAACCGGTGTGCCAGGTGAACGTGACAATGGAGTTACTGTAGGAGAGGCTTTGACAGTACGATTTTTTACCCCCGGGGGTACGCGAAGACATCTTAGGGGGAACGTGAAATTTAAAAAAATATATATTATTTTATGATAAACACTAAATAATCAGTAATGTAATTTACTTAATTTATTTTAGATGTAGATTATATACTATGTATAACTTGAATTATACACCAACAACTTTGGGGGTACAAAGTTGAAGAGAAATTAT